ACCATCTAGTGGCACAAAATCATTCTGAAGTTAACATTACAAGAGAAAAAAAAAAAAAACACCGCACTGAATAAGGGAAAGTGGACACCACAGAGAAGCCAACATTTGAAGAATTTGGCCTCCTTGTGTTAGGGGATAAAAAGCCGTGGAAAATTTGCTGATGTTGAATCATGATTGGGCATTTGGTCCGTGGAGCAACACGATAGAAGAGACAGAAGTGCTTAAGATGGGGGGAAAAAGCCCAGTGTGTCTTTCCCCCCCCCCCCCCCCCATTTCTCATCCAGAGAAATGTGAAAGCAAAGAGCAAGTCAGTGTGGTGGCACGTGAAGCGGTGTTCTCTCTGACTGGAGAGTGTGGGAGGAAGAGAATGAATGGCGAGCTATTATGTGAATCAGAAAAGCCGTTCGCAGCGTCAGGGCGCACCACGCGGATGTGTCATTCCGCCGGAAACGGCAACGTCTCGAAGAGCCTCAAATTCCGCGACGCACCGAAACGCAACCGTGCCCACGGTGGGTGTCCTGCAGTTTAGAGAAGATTACTTGCCAGCCGTTATCGTAAATTGCTTTCCGCGTCAGGCTTCTGTGCTGGAAAATCTCTCTGAATATTGGGCGCAATGACCGGCTGCTTAATCTCGCCCGTAACCCCAACAGAAATGGAGGCCCGTGGCTTTATCAGCAACAGAGCTCCTTATCTGCCGCCCGGAGCGCGCGCCCTGCATTCCTTTGAGAAGGAACCCATCGCACCAAGAGGAAATGCTTATTTTATCACTTTTTGGCTTTCCTGTTGGCGTTCATGCCTTCTACCCAAGAGAATTTTATTTCTCGTGGCGAGCCTGGATTGATAGCTTGCGGATTTCTTCTTGAGTCGATCTGTTCCGATCCCGCAGCCCAAACAAACAGGGAGACGCCGGACGTTCTGACTAAAATGGCGCAGAGTCATTTCATACCAAAACGTACAAAAGCCATCGAGGTTCTATTATTTGCCCCGCCTTCCCTCTCGGGTCTGCGATCCGGACGCCGTGAGAGGTACGAAGCGGAGGCTCCGGGGGGATGGAGCCTCTTCCGTGGCCGCTCCCTCTCTTTGGAATGAACGCCGGGCGAGAGCCCCCTCGCTGCCTATCTTTCAAATTCGTTCTCGAACATAAAAGAGCTTTTTAGTCGGACTGTTTTTGTGCTTTCTGCCGTCTTTGTTATTCATTTATTATTTGTTGGCGTGTGATTTACTTTTGCTCCATGTAGCGCACTTTGCGTACAGCGTCGGTTGTTTTCGAGCGCTCTCGAAAAATACACTTGGGTTGAGCCGGGAGCTGAGTTGAATGGACCGAGGAGCTTTGCATTTGCACGGCGTTCCTTTGTCAAAGCTGCGTTGACTTCCTGGGTCACACGTATGCAAGTAGCAGGTTGAGCCAAAGCATTTCAATGCACTTGCAGGAAACCTTTTCTTGATGAATCGGTCGGATACAAGCACTTCGCTGTGCTCCGAAATAGATCACGTTGCATTCCGTCCGTCTTCCATTTCTTTCCGCTGAAGTCGCTTCAACTTGGAGGCTTGTTTTTTTTTTTTTCTGCACTCTGCCCGTTCCAGTTTTGCCGAAGGCCTGACTCCATCAGACACGGTTCTCATGTTAATGAGCACGTGTGCCAGGACGCCAGAGGAGGTCGAGCATGCCTTCTCATCAATTTCAGTACATACCCGAGACGCCACATCAGAGTTGGAAATCGCCCCCCCCCCCCCCGCATCCAGTGTGCTGCGTGTCATTTGGCTGTGTGAAACAAAATGCTTGAATAACGTGGAATTGGACAGTGTTTAAGATGCTCAGAAGTGAGCATGAAAGCACCCACCCCCGCCTTTCTCTCTCTCTCTCTCTCTCTACTGAGGGGTCTGACTCAGGAAAACCCAAATCACTTACAAATTGCTGTTGGCAGGTGTGTTGCCCTGTCATCGACAGAGATTTCCAAAATACAAGGCGCGAAATTTCTCCCTCACACTCAAGTGGGCTGATAGCCAAGCAAACGTCGATCTATCCATTCATTCTCTAGCGCTTATCCGGGGTCGGGTCGCAGGGGCAACAGCCTGAGCAGGAAAGCCCGCACCTTCCTTCGCTCTTGCGGGGGATCCCGAGGCGTTCCTTCCCAGGCCGGCCGGGAGACAAAGAGTCTATCCAGCTTTTCCGAGGTCATCCCCGGGGCACCTCCGTACCCGGAACACCCCATCGTCCTCATCGGTTGCCTGAGCCACCTCATCCGGCTCGACTCTGAGCCCCTCCCGGATGAGCGAGCTTCTCGCCTCCCTCCAAGGGAGACACCCTGCGGAGGAAACTCATTTCGGACGAAACTCCAAATGTCTAAATTCATGTTTACTGAAGAAGAACATGCCAGGTTTATGCTTGTGGTGCATGTTGAAGAAAATGAGAACATGATTGCGTTCCCTTTCTTCACACTGACTCTTCTCCTCCACAAGGTTAATTGCTGCAAGAAAAGATGCCCGCCTCAGAGAAATACTGAATGCAGGAAAGAAAAAAAAAAACTGAAATGTGCACTCTAGATGAATTCAAGGTTGTGGAATTAATGTTCGCTGAATGTTGCCAAAAATAAAAGTGAGTGATCCGCCGGAGTCACAAAGGGTGGGGCCAAATCAGTCACAAAGCGGAGCTAAGTGTGTGCTGCTAAGATGCTGCATTGTTACCGATCCAGTGAGTTTAAATTAGGATGAAGCAGTGATGGCTGCTTTATTGATTCAATTAAAGGCAACCGTTGGACCTTGGCGGAGGTATGCGCTTGACTGAGTGCCATTCGAGTTTCAAGAAGCGATCTGTTTTCTGCTCCTGCTGCTGCAGCTTTTATGTGAGGTTTCATTCGGCTTGATTTAACAAAAGTGTTTGTCAGTTGGTCGGATATCTTTCCGGAGCTCTGCTCCCGCATAAGGCAAAACGCTTTCCAATGGAAGTGCTCAGAGATTGTTCAGACATAAAAGGCGGTGCGTGTCAAGAAAAATTCAAACGACTGATTTGACGATTCATCTGAAAGGTGGGCGGTGCCAAATGACACCGTGGCTTGGTTCCGTTTGTGACCAACAGGTGGCAACGGAGGGCTTCTCCTCCAGCGTCGCGCCTGTTTCTCGTCGTGTCATGAGCTGTCTTTTGTTCAAAGGACCGCCGCGCCGACCACTCGTGGTCGGATCGTTGTGCTTCTGTCACAGGATTTGGTTTGTTACTTTGCTTTTTGGTGGTTTTCCAGACTTTGTTAACGTTACTGTCATGGCTTTATTTTTTCCTGTTGCTTTCAGTTGAGGGGGGGACTTTGTAATCGTGCTTTCGATGTAGTTTTTCCAGCGTACCCGTGCAAGCGTTTTTGTGAATGCCTTTTGTTCGGTACTCCCGACTCCACCCGCCTCCCTCCTCTTTGGGTCCCGCTACCATCACACACCCTTGACAAAACGGATGCCTGCAGTCCCGCTTTGAAAACAATCTGATGTCAACATATCGAGGATAATACAACGAAAGGCGCAACGTTGACCGCAATCTGTTCTGTCGCTGGGGTTGACTTGCAAATGGTTTTCACTCGCCCATAGGACCCAATTATCATGAAATCTATCTGATCGAGAGGCAAACTGCTGCCGTCGGAAAACCTTTAGCAACTTTAAAGGCCACGGCTTAGGCAACATTTGAACATTCCTAATTGGCAGGCAAGTGTACCATCGCGAACAACAATACCGTATGTGCGCGCAGCATTCGACAGGCCCTTTGCAGCGATGAACACTGCGAGACGTATATTGCGATTCCTTCCTTTTTTTCTTATTGTTATTATTGTCACGTGCCGGCCCAGGTGAGAGACATTCACCGGGGACGTGTAGCTAGAAGGGAGGGGAGGGAGTTCCACATGCTAAAGGTATTAGACTTGATGGGTTTTGAGGTCCTTTTTTTTTTTTCCCCCATCGGTGGCTTTGTTGGCTCTATCCACCATATTATAAGCGCATAGTGCCATTCTTCATGCCGTGTGAACAATCTGGAGTCGTTGCTGCATATTGCAGGACATGTGACAAGTACACGCAGGTGTGACTTTTCCTTTGGCACGAGGGCCGTATTTCGATTGTGCGAGCTCCTGTGCGGTGAACGTCAAAGGGTCTTTTTTGTTCCTTTGGCTCCAAGGTGCTGGAACTGGACTGGATCATGTCTGCCCAGTTTGAAACGGTGTGACTTGAATGCCCCCTAGTGGTTACACCAAGCACATCCGAGAGGTCCACTTGATGCCGGTTGAAATGGACGAGCCTCGAGAGGCCCGTGAAAACGTCAGAACTGGACTATTTTCAGTTCGGTGAGGTTCAAGGTCTGTAACGCGAAACTTTGAGTCTGGACCAGAGAGGCGGACCAAGGAACTGTTCTGCGCTGAAGACGCATGCCGGTCTAGTTTTGTGGCTTATTTGGTGTCAGTTCACATTGTGTTGCTGCTGACTGGGAGGACGCATGGAAGAGAAGGAAAGGTCAACGGCACTTTGGGACGAGCGTTGTCAAATGAATGCCTATTTGGTTGTTTGGAGGACATCGTTCGCTTTCCCGGCCAGCTTCTTTTCTTCGGGGAACTGCGTGGACCCAGATTTACTCGCAAATATTTACGCAACTGCTTAAGCATTCTTCTTGTGATGTAGATGAGCTCAAAGTCTCCAAACGGGAGCTCGCGAAACGTGGGTCCGCATTAATGCTTTGGAGACTTGCCACGCTACTCCGGAAGAGAGACGTTTAAAGTCAGTTCAGCTTTATTCCTTGCCCCCGTCCGTCTCTCGTCTCATTCCAAACGTCAGGTGATTCTGGCATCGACCGTATGTCTCGAGCCAGTGTTTTGGGGTATTTGACGCACGTCGAAAATACCATTTGGAAGACCTTTAGAATCATCATGACTTTCAACGCGCTCGTTTGTATAAAATGAAGGACACGGCAGAAATAATTGGGGCCCCTCGTGTAGCGATCCTGCGGCTAATCAACTTGAATTCATGCGTCCATTCAGGTAACTCGCCTTCCGAGGAATCCGAAGAGCATGACAAGGAGCCTCGGACGTTGACCTACCCCGCCTACATTGCCAGCTTGTTGGACGCGGGAGCCAAGCGGATGGCAGCCGGCGTCCGGATGGATTGCACCAGCCAGGGCCAGTGCCCTCGCTCCTGCCATCTCTGCCATATGAGCCCAAGGGCAGCTCAAGGGCGACAGCAGTCCGAGCCCGTCCTCTTGCAAATCACCAAGGCGGCCCCCGTCTATGAATTGGTGTCCAATAACGAGACGTACCAGGTGTGTGGCAGTTTGTTTTTCGGGGGTCTGTAAATCGCCACCAAAATGGAAGTGTGATCTTGAGAATGGAATCGAATCGGCTCATATCAGTATCCGCCGTGAGGATATTATTGCTGTCGTCGCCCGGAGATCACACTTGATTAAGAATCAAATGTAGAAGTTTGAGAATGGTGGCTTGAGATAAGACGCGAGGGGGACGAGGTCAACAGAGTGGAACATGCGAGGGCACCATCACTTTGCTTTTCCTTGAAATGGAAGAAATTCACTTCTGTCCGTACATACTGTATATGAAAAGCGTGTAAATAACTTTGCCTTTTTGGCTTAGCTTGCTAGCTCAGTCAGTAAGCTGAGCACAACAAGTCACAGAATTTCAAATTTGTTGTCGCTCTTACGACACAAGACCACGCGCTCTTTGAGAAAAGGCCCTTTGGAAAACGGCTTGGCGGTCTTTGCCAGTTGGAGTGGCAACAATGAAAATGCCTTTGTGACTGATGATTAGAGGACCATTTGCCTTTTTTCTCTTCTTTATAGTCAGACACAGCCGGGGAGCTTCACTTGAGTCCACTGTACCAAAATGAAAAATGCTGCCATTTCGAAATTAATCTGTACCTCGTCTTGATGTTGCCTCGCACGCCTCCCCCAACAATATCTTTGCATTTGCTGTTGTGGAAAGCTTTTCAAATTGAGCTTCCCAATCATCCTTCTGTTTGCTCAACTGTTCACGTCCTCCTTTCTCTGCCTTATCGCAGGCCCTTCAAGAGGCAATGATGAGCACGCTGTGGTGCTCAGGGAGCGGCGACGTGATTGACGACTGGTGTCGGTGTGATTCCAGTGCCTTTGGCGCCGACGGACTCCCGACATGTGCGCCTCTGCCACAACCGATGTAGGCAACTCATCACATCCATCCGTTCCATTTTCGAATCCGCTTCTCCTCACGAGGGTCGCCGGCCCGTTTTTTTCCGATTGAAAAAAAATGCACTCCTGTTTTATCAAAGATAGTGTGACCATTTTGACTTGTTTTTGGGAGTTGGCTGTGTGTCGCCAAGAAGTCACGCTCATGTTTGTTCCTCTTCTTTTTGTTTCCAGGCTGAAACTGTCTTTCACTCATGAGCCGAGTAGCTCCTTGCTCATCATGGAATGGAACCACACGGAGCCGCCCATCGGTGTGCGGATCATTGATTACCTCATCAGCCAGGAGAAGGTGACCGAGAGGACTGACCACTCCAAAGTTGAGACAGGTATTTTTTTTTTTTTTTTACTTCGGGCAGCTCACATCAGAAAGATGGCACCAAAAAAAGCCGGCGCAGAAAAAGCTCAAAATTGCAACCGTGTGCACGCTAATGGCCGAAGTAGCTCTCGTAAGGCGGGCGTCATCTCGCACCCGTTCGCAAAGCATCAGAAGGGCAACTGATTGCTGACCAGCTGCAGCTATGCGAGTGCACTCCCGAAAGCGCGGCGCTTCGGCCTGAAAATTGAAAGCAACAGGAAGAGGCCAAAAGATCTGCGCATTGACATCTCATTCTGATTAATATTGCATTTGCCAAAGAATTAAACAGGGAAATTGTTCACTTTCCATCCATCTCGGGGGGGGCTGCCATTTTGAGAAGTGATGTTTTATTTTTTTCTTCAAATGATCCATTCATCCATCCATCCCCATGATCTGAGCCGTGCCGGAGCCTGTCCCAGCCGTCTTGGGGGGGCAGTTGGCGGGGGACACCCTCAACCGGTTACCAGCCCGTCGCAGCATTTGCAATATAAGAGGAAACAAAAAGCGAAATTGGCAGGCAAGCAAACAAACAAGGCCGACAAATTGAATTAGTGGGAAGCGGTTCCGCCAAAAGAAGCGTTTTTGGATTGACGGACCATCATTGGTCTACAAATTCATTCCGCCACACGTCTCCTACACGCGTGATAAACAGTCCATCCATCCATCCATTTTCCGATCCGCTTTATCCTCACAAGGGTCGCGGGGGACACCCTGAACAATTTGGAGCGTGTGACAAATAGTGATCAGCAGAAAAGTTGGAATGCCGACAATAATGCGAGAAGACCAAATGTCTCAGCTTTGTGCTCAAATCAACAGGCCAGAGTTCATTCAGACTGTATCATGACGCGTGTCTCTAAATTGAGGCAAGAGGATCAGGATTTGAAGGTTCATGCTTTTGGCTCCAGTTTTTTTCGGGGGTGTGATGGGAGATTTTCCCAAGGTAAATCCAGGTTGGACAAGACCGTACACTGTTGTAGTTTTGAAGGAATCCACAAGATGGTAGTCACTATTTATATGAAGCATTCATCGTCGCCCGACTTTGACCAAAAGCATGTTGTGTTTGTTTTGTTTGGGGCTTGGCTAAAAAAAGGCCAGCGGTCTGCCGTCATAGCGGCCCTTTGATCTGCAATTGGAGTTTGGCACCACCTGCTCACCCACTTGCGCGGATTCAGAACCGTTCAAACGTGGGCGGCTTGTCGTCAGGTGAACTTTGTTGTCGACTTTTTGGCATTACGCGGCAGGCACTCGACTCCGCTCGACCGTCTGGGATGTCGGGTGACTGTTTGAGGTGAACACACACCCCACCATGCCCCGATGTGTCAGCGAAGCGACCACCGAGGAGCCGCGCGGAGAGACAGAGCAAAGAAATCAAAGACAGGCACGAGACTGAGCAGTGTGGTTTTGATTTCAGCCGTCTGACTTTCATCTCGGAAAAATCAGACTGACGTGAACCGATGGTCCTCCTGCGCTGTGTTTCATTCTTCGGCGCTTTTTTTTTTTTTTGATGTTCCCCTCGAGCTTCCTCCAATCTGCCATTCCTCCTGTCCCGTTGATTTGTTTCTCAAAAAGGTCTTAATGCTGGCTTGTTTTTTTTTTTTTTTTTTTCTTTGCCCGCTTTCTAACCTCTCTGTTGCTTCAGCACTCCGAAGTGAATCCGCTCACTTGGCCCGCATTGAAGCAGACCGGCGTCGTTCAATGAAATGGCACTCGTGATCAATCTGTTTTGAGAGCTATCAACCAACTTTAATGGTACTTTAAAAGGAATGTTTGCGGAAAATCGATCACAGAGACCATATCGTTTTAGCTGCCTCGCATGCACTTGAAATGAATGTGCTTCCTAAAACTGCTGCTTTTGATTTGTTTTCAAAGCGGGGATTTGGGAATACGTTTTTTCCCCTCCCCGAGTGCCACGGCCGCAAGACAACGAAAAAGAATATCGTGCTACCCTTAAGCCAAATGTCGGATCGTGAGAGAGCAATTTTTTTTTTTTTAAATTTATGTCGGTAATGTTTCATATTTTATGATGCTATTCCACAATACGTTGTACACTGCTGAAGATTACAAGTAACAGTTTGTTCATCATTGTGTCATTTTCTTGAGCTCCCTGAGATCCCTTTCCTGCGAAAGAAAAAAAGTTTGGGCTTTTTGGACATTTTAAATGGTGGTTTGTTTTTCCACGTCCATAAATATCCTCAGCAATAGAGTGTTAAAAACGTTGAATCGGATCAAATTTCCTTCATATGACAGATAACGGGTTTGTCGGACTCGAAGGTTTGAACTTGTCATGTGACCGGTCCTGATGTCGTCGACGGTTCCAGTATTGCGTTTGGAATTCCAACTTCTGTTTGGGCCTGCAAAGCCCGGCGAGGGCTGCTTCACGTGTATCCTTTTCATTGGTGTGCCGAGTGCAACCGATGGGCAGCCGAAAGGCTTCGGACACCCTCGGAAACGCCGTCCGGGTGGACTTTCCAGTTCAGAGGCGTACCAATGCCAGACCAACAGAAAAAGGAGAGTGAGGTCATGAAAGGCGCAGAGAACAGAAGAAGAAAACACAAATGACTTCTTCGCCTCGTATAAATCAAGCGCAGAAAACATAAAACAGGAATGCAACTTTTATCCCTTTTCGGCAACGTGTCGAACCTCGCATCCGCATTTCAAGAGTTGCATTCTTTCACTGATGCCTTTGGCAAATTGGAGTCTTTCTCAGGGCAACTGCTATCAATTACCCGGGGTCATTTTGTCAAAATCTGATCGCCCCTCAAAAGATGTCCTGTGTAAAAAAAAAAAAAAAAAAAAGTATGATTGATGGCGCAATGAAGTCAGTGGAAGGTCAACAGTTTATTCATCAAACTGAAATTGCAAGCAAAAGGAGGAGCGGCTGGAGATTGACGCTGCATTCCATCCGTTATCTCACGTTATCCTCGGCTGTCTTCGGGCAGTAGGCAGTGCTACACCCTCAACTGGTCGCCGACCAATCGCATCGGGCACAACGCACTCCCAATCACACCTAAGGATAAATTAGAGCAGAGCTACAGTCTTTGTAAGAGAAACTCCGCCCACCTTCACCTTTTTAAACTAAGCTTGGGGCCCATGTCAAAGGATGTATTTTTGGGGGTCATGCTGCGGGCCACTGAGAAATAGATGGTGGGCCGCAAATGGCCCCCGGGCCGTCGTTTGGACACCACACGATTTAGAATGCTCATTTTACCTATCGTGCATGTTTTTGGGATGCGGGAGGAAATCGGAATGCTCGGAGAAAACCTTGCCAGGCACGGGGAAGACATGCAAGGAAGGCAGAGGCCCAGAGTCGAAGCCCGCACCTCAGCACGGTGAGGCGGACGTGCTAACCGGTCACCCGCCTTTCCGCCGTGGCATTCCACGCGGGAGGAAACCCGAGTACCCGGAGAAAACCCGGGCAGGCACGGGGAGATATCATGCACGCAGGAAAGCCGGGGCCCGGAATGGAACCTCTGCAATGTGAGGCGGACGTGCGAACCAGCGGCGCCTGCGGACATTTCACTCAATGTGCTTCCAAATGATTCAGACCCGAAGACTTGCAGTCCAAAGCCAAAAAGTACGATCATCTTTCCAACACAACCATCCCATCCAAAAAGTGTCCTGCTCTCACAATCGGGAAATATGCTCGTCAATCTGGCGGTTGACGCGAGCTCATCCGCAACTTTGTCGGGGCGTCCTTTCTAATCGTCAGCCGACAACAGCGATTTTCAACTCAAACCCCCCCCCACCAATCGTCATTGAATTTGACATTTGCCACTTTCTGAGTGCCGCTTTCAAATGAAGAGTCCGCTGCAAAAACAGATTCATCTTTGAAGCACCCTTCTCCTTTCCATTTCAAAGCAGGAGAAAACAGATTGACTGGAAGGGTCAAGAGGCGCAGGCACGCTCACACACACGCTCACACACACGCACGCCTGCCTAGGCCTGCGCAACTGAACTGACAAAAGCAGGCAGAACTTCAAAAGGTGAGCGATCCCACAACTCCCATAAATCAGTCTCCTGGCAATCCTTGATTTTCCAACCAATCAGACGTGAAGAATGCAAAGGGTAAACATCTCCAGCTGAACGGACACGTAAAAGCGGCTCTCCGCCGCTTCTTTCAGGATGTTGTTTTTATCCCTTTGCATTGATTTATTTGTTCCCCCCCCCCCATTGATTACGGGCCTGGAAAAAAACCAAAACAAGTATTGCGCTTGACCTGGTATTTCTGACTATATTCTTCGAGCAGATTTAGTGAGAACTTCAGCCTCCTTCAACCGGTTCTCTGTACGTGGAACCTTTCGTTCTTCACAACAGGTGGCTATCAAGGGGCGACCCGTTTCTCTTCGTTATATTACTGCTTACTCTTGGAAGAATAAATACTCGTACACACCGAATAAAAGTTACCTTGGGACTCAACTGTAGGCTGTTCACTATATTTTAACATCAGTCATCACCTCGAATTGCTGTTAGAACCATCAAACTGTTTGGCGTGATATGTGACTAGCGGGCCGTACAAAAGAATCGGGGGCTGGAAGCCGAAAGCAATAAATTTGAAAAATCAATTTAAGAACACACTTTTACGACGGCATTTATCCCCCATAGCGGCAGCCCAAAATTTTGATGGCCCAACCAGGTGCTGTCAGACATCAAAGTCCCTCCCGTCCGTCTTTTGGAGCTCTCGCCACTTTTGCTATGTAGACAGATTTGAAACCAAACGAGCCGTACGACGGTCTATTGTCATCTTTGGATAAGCTGGTCGGCTTCTACTGCAAAAACGAAATACAGGCTCATATTTCGCGCATTGTGGATAGTACAGCACGTTCCACCAAATGACGGAAAATATCGCTCGCGATGTTTCGAGCGTTCTTTTTCTTGCCAACAGTTCATCCATCCATCTCTGATCCGAACCGCTGCTCCTCAGGCGGGGCGCGGCCGTGCGTGCCGGAGCCTATCCCGGCCGTCCTCGGGCCATAGGCGGGGGTCACCCTCAACCCATTGCCGGCCATTCGCCGGGCACGCGTCGACACACACCCTTCCACGCGCGCTCATGATCGCACCCGGGGAGCGGTCCATTCATCTGTCATGCATATTTTGGGGAATGATTGAGGATTTGGCGAATTGATGCCATCGAGAAGTCGCAAGCTAAAAGACTTTCAAGGCTGTCTGAAATTGCGGACGGCCTGTTCCCAAAACAACTGCCATCTGGTCTTTCCCCTGGGTGGAAAAATACCCTATGTATGGATGTGTGTGTGGGTGTGTGTGTGTGTGCACACACACACACACACCCACACACACACAGGAAAGAGAGACTGATTAAGATGGGAGGAGAATGTCAGATACAGTCTAATGAAAAATTCTTTTTCAAGTTGCACACGAAAAATTGGACTTTATGAGGCTCGCTCTGCAAACACGGTTTCTGGCTGCCTTGTTTCAACCCGGAAATTGATTTTGGGGGGAACTTTATGAGCAGCATTTCTGAGGGCTGCAGCTGTTGTCTAACACAGACAGGCAGGAGCAAAGCAAGTCTGCCGCGTCTGCATCAGCTTCTCTGTCCATTCCATTTCCTTTCAGGGCCATTCCATGTCATTATTTGGTTTCCCTGAAGCCACATGTGAACATTGAGAAAGAATGCTCCGGAATACACAAGTTGGGGAAGTTTTCACATGCATCTGGGAAAATACTGATTGATATGCGCGTAGCAACATCACCTTGGGCCTTGGGCGGCATGAAATAAGTGGTGAAGATTTTTTTTTTTCTTGAATCTGTTACTGTATTTAGTTATTGATAAAATACTTTCGCAATAGAAAATGTTCAATTTGTATTCCGCTGCTATATTGTAATCTATATTTTAAAAAAAAAAAAACTGTCATTTTTTGTGTTCATCCATTTAATGAGAATGGATTTTACTGTGCTATTTCTTGTCTGACTGGTTGCGCAAACAATTTTTCGATTTCTTCTTTCAGAAGTCAATTTCACTTAGCGACAAAGAAATTCAACAGTTGAATGGTTTTGACATCACATTCGCGCCGTTGAAGTCACTCGGTCTGTGTGTGTGTGTGTGTGTGTGCTCCAGAAATGCTTCTGAGCTTCGTGGATGATGTCTTGTCTGGCGCCAGGTCCCCATGTGTGATGTTAGGGGACATTCCAAACCTGTTGTCCTCCTCTGTCAGCATGATCGTCCGCTGTCTGGAGCCTGACACCACGTATATGTAAGTTACTCCGTCCACATCAACACTCCCTGTTTGTGATGCAGACCCGCTTACTACACGTGCTGCCCAAATTACATTTCAAAGGTTACTCTGTCACTCTGCCCATCTCAACCTTTTTTTTTTCTTTTAACTAACCTCGTGGGCCGTTCTCCAATGTCATTTTTAATATATGTCGCGGGCCACTGAAAAATGGTTGGCGGGCCCCGGGCCTGTGTGGGTTTTCTCCGGGTACTCCGGTTTCCTCCCACATTCCCACACTCGAAATTGTCCAGTGGTGTGAATGCGAGCGCGAATGGTTGTTCGTCTCTGCGTGCCGTGCGATTGGCTGGCAGCCAGTTCAGCGTGTCCCGCCACCCCCGCCTTCTGCCCGGAGACGGCCAGGAGAGGCTCCAGCACGCCCCGCAAGGAGCTCGGGATCGCTGCATTGTTTGGGATTTGCTCGTGCCGTTTAGCATGATCAATGGCGGCAATTTGGGTTCGTTTTGGCAATTGGGAACTGATTTCAAAATAATCCTTTCATGTTCAATTCCCACAAATAGGTGGCGGGATGATAATTCGACATTAATAGCAAGGGGGGAGCTGGCGGGGCTGGGGGGGTTCTGTGAAATGAGTCACGGGACGATGATTTATTCCATGCTACATTTGCAGTGGGAGTTCACGATGGTAAGGTGACCGACACACCGCATGTGCGATTCTCAGCCTCGCACGCACACAACGGATGCCGACTTTCTCACGCTTAGCCCGCGGACGACTTGCCCGGAGTGAAGCAATACGCATGTCTCGAAGAGGAAATGAGGCGGCGTTTGGGGAGAGGCCAAAGAGCGAGTGAGAAGAAGATCAAGAGGCAGAGAAACAAAAGGGAAGAAAGTCAGAATGCGCGGAATGTTTTGAGGTGCCGGACGGTATTTAGTCGGAGTGCTATCACACAAAATTCCACGCGCGCTCTTAAGTCGCAGCAGTAGCAAGCGCTCCCGCATTCTCTGTTCGAGCAGTTCGGTGGTGTCACTGAGCCAAGCCGAGGCCCTGTCTCATATTTTCGATGCGGAGAGAGACCATCCAAATGTGGCCTTCTTGGTTGGACCAAAATGTTGGCACTTGCCACCGTAGGCACATGCGTTTGAAAAGCCATTGATCACAAGTGATTATTTTCCGAGTGGCAGTTCAGTCAAACTTCCCACGGGCAAGACAGCTGACTTCAGAGCGAGATTCATTCCCTGGTCTCTGTTTTGCGCCGCTCTAGCCTGCGGGCCGAGGAGAACCCAATTCGATTTTGCGACGACTCCGAAAAGACGGCCAAATATGTCTTTGGGAGTGAATGGCTTTTAATTGCCCCCGTGGTTTTCTGTTCGTGTGCGATAAAACTGTGAAAAAAAACCACTCGATTGTTATTCGTGGGAAGTAACAGCTGAAGCGCCTCACAGCTCAGAGGCGTGGGGTTCGATTCCGGCTCCGGCTTTCTTCCCGGGTTGAGTTTGTATGTTGTCTGCGCGGGTTTTCTCCGGGTGCTCCGCCTTTTTCCCCACATCCCAAAAACGTCCATGGCAGGTCCGTGGAAAACTCTTAATTTGTCCCTCGGTGTGAGCGTGAGCACAAATGGTTGTTCGTCTACGTGCGCCCCGCAATGGGCTGGCAACCAGTTCAGGGTGTCCCCCGCCTACTGCCCGAAGACGGCCGAGATAGGCTCCGACACACCCACGACCCTCCTGAGGAGAACCGGATGAGAAAGTGGATGAATGGGATGGATTTGTGCTTTGCAATGGGCGTGTCAGCCACAAGATGGAGATGTCATTCAGAAAAACGTGTGCGTTTAGAATGCGGGCTCTCCTCGTAGAGAGGAGTCATCCGATTGAATTACCTGCACAGGAAAGGCAACCGATTCCAATGAAAAGGTTCACAAAGAATAGATGGCCTCTTTCGATGACCGTAATTGGCTGTGTGCCTGTCTAGGTTCCGGCTTTGGGCAGTGGACAACACCGGGCGTCGTTCCAGTCCAAGTGAGGTGACGATTAAAACGCCCTGCCCGACTGTGGATGACGTCAAAGCTCAAGGTGAGGAGAGACACACACGGGAGATGAAGATGAGTCACTCCTCGCTTCGGGGCGCAGGGTGCCTGCGTGAGGTTCCGGTGGTAATTGTCGGAGAATGAAACGACGCATTCGTGTTATCGGTCAGTCTGAGATGGCTTGCTCCAGAGTCAACGTGGACCTTACAGAGGTCCTTGCTAATTCCTCATGCTCTGTGGCTGATCTACTGGACGAACATGAGCTTTTTTGATTATGAATGATGTTCGCTGAATTTTGAGGCATTCGGGCCACGCCGTTGTCGTTTTTCATTCTCAGGAAATGACGTTTTTCATCATAGAGATCCCAAATGGGAGCGCGTGTATATTTTTCTCGAACGGACTGTTGGCATTCAAAACTCGGCCTTATCTCGATTGTGGCAAGTCTGTCCAATGCGAATACCCAAGGTTCATTTAGGCTTCAGGATGTCAACCTGAACAAAATACATGTTGAAACGTGTGCATAAGTCCTTTTGTTTAGGTGTGACACTCAATTTCAGTTTTTATTGCTTTAAATGCATTTTCAGGCCGAGCTGAGCATGTTTTCTGAAGTTTAATGTTTCTTAATAGGAATGAGTTGTATGATAAAATTAATGTTCACTTAGGCTGCCGGCGACGGGTTTGGTGTGCGCGTCGCATCACGTTTAAACTAACGTTCAGAAAGAAGTTGTGTCACTGGCCTGACAGTGGTCATATTCATCGGCCGGTTGTTTTGTGCTTGCGGCCATGCAGAAATCGCCGATAAAATCTACAACCTGTTTAACGGCTACACGAGTGGCAAGGAGCAGCAGACGGCGTATAATACTCTGATGGACCTGGGCGCCCCGGCGCTGCATCGAGTTCTCTACCACTACAACCAGCGCTATGAGAGCTTCGGGGAGTTTACCTGGAGGTGTGAGGACGAGCTTGGACCCAGGTCAGTAAAGTCGGGGGCGTTCCAAATCTTCCGCAGGGACCCATGCTCGGTTGCGCTTTTCACAGACACCGCATAAGTCATCCTTCCACACACCCAGACAGAAATGGTGGTGTCATTCTCAAATTAGCACCAGAGGGAGTTTTTTTCTTGATTCCGGGGGTTCCCACCCAACCCATCAAGACTTTAGGGCAAGGTTTGATCATTAATATTTGGAAATGTTTCATTTTAATATAACCCAATCAACTTTTGTTATAATTTTTTCCAGTTTTGAGTTTTGATTTCCTCATGACAACATCATCACCTGAGCTACGCGACGGCATCTTATTCATTTCAATCCAATCTGCTCTTTTCGAAAAACGTGCTCTAGTCATATCACGGCCCATTCGAGAAATGAACCGGCCGCCGTGAACACTCTGTGTCCCTCAAGTCTCCGGATGTTGTCCTGCTTGACACGCCTCTACAACGTGGCACGGACGTCCGTTGGTGGTCCCCCTTTTTCACAAGGCGGAAGGGAGGGTGTGTTCCGGCTCTCGAGGAGTCAGACTTCTCAGCCTCCCTGGTGAGGGGCATCCAGGGGTGCCGGAAACGAGGGTCCGTCGGGAGGCCAACTCTCCGATTCAGGAGGAGCGTTGTGGTTTTCGCCCCCAGCCGTGAAACGCTGGCCCAGCTCTTGACGCCCTCCTCGATGGGTGCATGGGGGCAGCGTATTTTTACCTTGAGTAGAGTGGACGGACAGCTGTTTTCACTGCTCCAACCAAATCGTATCCTTAGCTTCCGCTCGGAACTTTTGCGCACTGCTTTGCACCTAAAACTGGCCGGGGGCCCATTTGGATGTCCAAACCAGAAGGAATGGATGCAAGTGAAGCGCGCGAGACGGTCCACCTTCTCCATGTTGGACTTTGTTGTGTTTGTAACTTCTTCTCCCCTCACAATTTTGGCATCCTGCGAAGAAAAAACAAAAAAAAAAAAACCTTTTCCGTCCGAAAAGCGTCTCTGAACAGCAAAGAAACGCAGCGGTAGGAAGGCACCTTGCAAAAAAGCAAAGTCATGCGTGGACAGACCCACAACCCAAGGGCGCAACTCCCCAGCTTCCTCGTGGCGCACACCGAGGAACGAACTCGAGTCAATTCTCATGACGCGTCGGTCACGCTGCCGCTCCGAAGAAGCCGTGCGGGGCCCGGACTCCGCGTGGGCTTTCGTGAGCCAAGTATGCAATACCGGGAAAGAACTGAATGATCAAATATGGCTTTATCTTTCTCCCGACAGCAGATCTTTGGACGCGCTGTTTTTAGAAACATATCGACTCCCGCCGACGAGGCCGTTTGGCTTTCGTCGAGGGACATTTTTGTTGCTTTTGATGCTGGATGCTTTAACTCAAAGCAGAAACTCACCCAAAGTCTGTCTATCTTCTTCTGCCGGAGGCCAGGCCTTGTCATCGCATTGAACGTACCCATTATTTAAGGCACACCGCTTGGCTGTTTCCTCAGAAATTCAAGATGCTTTGGCAAAAAAAGAACTTTTCTCCCTCACTGTTTCTCAGTTGGACCTCTTTCCCACCCCGTTTTCTTTTTTTTTCTTCTTTTTTTTTTTTTTGTTGACCGACGACAGATTCTAATCTTTGTTTGGAGCTCCTCTCAGGACATTTTCATCATAGTTGACGATCCTATTTTTAGTTGAGGGAGCGGTTCCCCAGCAACCCGTTAACATATTGTCATCCGATGACCAGTTTTCCGTCAAGGTGTTCATCCTCCAGGGCAGAAAGGACTTTGAACGCCGCCGCATTAGCTGGCGAATGGAAAGAATGTTTTGTATCGTCACCAATGTGTCAGTACGGTCGAAGAAAAATAAAAATGGACCTTAGTATGTTCAAAAATGAAGGGAGCACAGATCCCGGATCTCGGCGAATGAAATGTTCCAGTTGAATTTTCTTTTTGATTGATTCCAGAAGTGAAAGCAAAACATCCTGAGCAGGACCTAATGAAATTGTTGCATGATCAGACTGAAAAGTGTGAATGACTTGGGACATTGATTGCGTGCCCTTGACTTGTTTTGAACTGTCCGCATTTCGGATCAGTTTGAGAAGGTCTGCTCGAATGTTGCTGATACCTTCCCACAAGCACCGCTCACGATGCACGGCGATTGAAGATCAACATTCCTTTCTGACGCAGCTCACGGAGCAACTCTGACTAATTATTCCTTTCGGATTGCAAATTGTTTGGCTCGGTTGTTGTTTGCGCTGCGTTCTGAATTCACGCGACGCCGGACGGAGTGTCCCGTCTGGTGAATTTTGACAGTCTGATCCGTGTCCAACAGGAAAGCCGGTCTGATCCTCTCCCAGTTAAATGAAGTGTCGCCGTGGTGCAAAGGCCTTCTCCGGGAGCCCAAGATCGGCCTTCGCCGGATGTCTCTCAAGTTCCTGTCCTGTCGCTACACGGACGCCGGGGCCATTGGAATGAATTGGGCAGACGTGGGCCAGGACGTTCACAAGGCATGTGATGAGCAGGTGCTCACCGTCTTGTATAATGACTACGGTGAGCCCAAGGAGATCTAATTGTCGCCGACCCGACCCGACCCGCGGTATCAAGTCCGGCCAGATCGAACAAAAAGGTGGTTTTACATCCATTCAAGTGTGCGCATTTCAAAACATCAAAGCGGGCTCTTTCTTGACCCCATCATCAACCGTCTTCGACGTCATATCACCAATTGGAGCCTTGCCACTTCATTGCTCATCACTTTTTTTTTTTTTTAATAGAGAAAGATGTGTGTGTGTGTGTGTGTGTGTGTGTGTGTGTGTGTGTGTGTGTGTGTGTGTGTGTGTGTGTGTGTGCTGCCATCGTTAAAAGATACAGTCCATTTCGTATGTTTTCGAGCTGTACAACAAAGTCACGCTCCACACAGAAGTGAAAAAAGTTCCCTTCAACCTCGGCTCGTATCATTTTCGTCAAGGAAATACGACAAGTGTTCCGTTGAACAAATCTGCTCTTGAAGCAGTTGTAGGTTTAGCATCACTAAATGGTGGTGTTGTCTCGGTGTCTGGCATGATGATGATTCATTTTTATCCCAATGTTAAAGTTGTTTTTTTTTGGTTTGTTTGTTTTTAAATAACCTCTCTTGTCCTGTCATTGTGTATAGTGGATCATTTGGGTTGGAAATGCCCACGATTCTCTTTTTCAAGCTATTCTACTTGTTCAAAAACAATCAAGGCAGAAGCAGGTTGTGACAGAATGACGACGTGGCCGTGACTCAAAAGAGGGCCTCAGTCAGCTCCCGCTCACTCAAATGTATTCAGTACGAGACATACGAAGCTCGCCTGCGTTTTGCCGACAGGAACGGCGAGCTTCGCCATTTCATCCTTTGTCACTTTCTAAATGATAAATATTGTCAAGTAGTCGTCGTTGAACACAGTATACTGTATGTATGCTTGCTGTAGTCGTGTGGCTGGCCCGCTTCAACACCCGCTATTTTTAGCCCCCGTCAACGCTTATGGTGATGATCCTCCACAACATGTGCAAAAAAACACGGCGCAATTCTGGTTCCAAAGTGCTGAGCGATGATTGAAGTCATACATTCCACAACTCCCCTGAGGTTGGCAGGCGATGCAAAGTTTTAGCTTCGCGTCCGACGCAGTTAGCCGTTCCGTTATTTTTCAGATACGCCCGGCGAGAGCAAACGCGACGAAACAAAAGGAAGCTTAAGTTTAAAAAATGTTTTAAAGTTACACCGTGAAAGAAAAGTGAAAGCTAAAATGTGACTGGAACAGCCTGTTCTCTGTCGGCTGTCAAAAATTCCGAATAATTGCCAATCCCGCGTGTACCGTACCGCTACGAGAGTGAAACAAGTCACTTGCAGGTATGCAGATGGCATGGAAAGGTACGTTTGCAGTTGTGACAGGTGGGGGGGATAAAAAAAATCTGCCGCGTTACTTACTCGCTTGAACAATGTACAGTGCATAGCACTCACGTAGAATTTTAGAGCCAAGCTGCTGAATGTCGAATTTCTGGTTGGTCATTTTGAATGACATTGTAACCCCGAGTCTGTGATCATACTTTGGGAAAGTAGTACTCGTTTGATGCTCCTGTGACTAAAATAGAAACTCGTGACTGTAAATGTGGTCATTCGCAAATTTATTTTGAATTAAATGTCTTTATGATTGAATTTGGATTACTATTGCGTAAGCCTTTGTGTCAAATTATTCTTAACGAGATTGAGTGTTTTTTTTCCATTTTTTTTTTCATGTTTAGTTTTGTTCCAGCTGAGTGGCCCGTCCGAAGGTCAATGTCAAGGCTTATCTGTTGTTCATATCTAACATATTTCTTACTACGAAAATGAATGCTCGCTATTTGCCGAGGCAGTTTTGCAAATGCTTTACATAGTAACCACATACGGTGATTTCCTTCTGGATGTACATATTTGCACGACATGCGCTTTCAAAATAGTGCGCGCTTCACAAGCCGGCCGATGGCCCGCGTTGTCCTACTTGCTCTGTCGCTCAGTCTTTGGAGCGCTCACGCGAAAAGCAGAGACGCTTCGCTTGTTTTATTTGGAGGTAAACAAATAGCGATTGAAACTGGACTCAACGCTCGGGAATCGGCTGACCGAAGGACTTGACAATATCGTGTTGCTCGAAAGGGACTACGACATGGGCCCGAGAGAACGAAGAGATCAGGACCTATACCTATTCTGTCATCGAGTCAACATTTTCCACTTTGCTACTTTAAGAATAAAGACATAAAATGCGGCTGCAGGAATGTGATCTTCCCTCCATGTCGCGTGCCGCGTCCGCCCTTTCTCTCAATGTACCGGCTTGCCAAATGAGCAACGTCCGGTCGAACACGCCACCACTTTGATAGCACGCCCACAGAGTCTGGATGATTTTTAGACAATGACGACGGAAACGAATTGGTTCAGATTCATTTGAGGAGGCCTGTTATGTCAAAAATGGAAATCGGTGCCAGCAAAAAAAAAAAAAAAGTGAGTCATTTGATGCAATGCATCACTCGCGCGGCTCTACGGCCTGAGAAAAGCCGCCGAAGATGCCGAGCTGTCGTGCACTTTTGCGAAATATGAAAGGCACATTGACACTGGCGCTCCGTTTAGCTGAATATCGGCTAACCTGAGAGTGAATTGCGATGGTGTTTGGTGAATACGCTCGAGTTGAATTGGGCATTGAAACTTTTGGTGAAGCATTTGATCATATTTTGCCATAAAAGTGATAAGCACGAGCTGAATAGAAAATGGATGGAAACAGAAGATTCTACGGGATGCAAATTTGTGATTTTTTTTAGAAGTCAGAGAACAAAAGACAAACGACCGGAAAAGATAAATAGAGTTTCTATTTATTCCACACAGAGTATAAAGTACGGTAAAATACTGAACATGGTTACACTTGTCCCTCAAGGTTGGATAAAATATTTAGAGACATTATTTCCTTTTTCTGAACCGGTATGTTTCTTGCGATAATACAACGGTGGGTGGTTGTTGTGCTCCAATACCTTCTATTCAACGCTACCGTTCATTTTTCCACCTGCAATCGTCTCCAAGAAAACCCCAAATATCTCAGAGCGGCCATTTTGACCCAGCCGCGTTTGTATCGTCATCCACGTTTGCTTGACACGCGACTTGACCCTCACAATGGTACAATAACAGAAGCCTGTGAAAATAATTATCTTTGCGGAAACGTCAAATAAAATATGACTGTTGCGGTCGACGGTGTCTTTTGAGCGTCCAAAACACATCGGCAGAAGGTGAAGAAAAAGTCCCAGAGGGGAAGCTAAAACCATTCTGATGAGTTTTGATTGTTGGCTGATACGTAAGGGAAGCGGCAAGCCATTACAGTCGTGACACATGGAAATGCAATCTATGGGTGTGTTCCCTCTTCCTTTTATTAACCAACGCGCTTATCGGCAATGGCGCCGAATGGCTCGGATTGAGCCTTTCGCCTTCATCGCAGGTGTGCGTGCTAAGGTATGATTTTTTGCTTGCCGTCTATATTATCTACAGCTTGACTTATGCGACGCCGCTCGACTTGCTCGCCGCTCATCCGTCTTAGGGGAGTCGTCCTCCGCCCTTCGGGTCCTTGGCTTTGCTCTTGTTCTCCTTGGCATCGGGATCGCGGCAAGTGCACTCGTCCTGATTGCAGTCTGCCCCAAACTGAATGACCTGTGAGAAAACAAGCATCATTTCCACAGCTGGACGATAAAACACGTCCCCAACAGTTTTGCTATTTAGAAATATATGGAATGTGACTCATTGCCGACGACTCCTGTTTAGCCCTTTAATGCCTGACCCATCAAGAAATAGCCAGAAAAATCGGATTTTTGGGAACTGACCCTTATAACAAAATCCACAAAAATATTTTTGCCATATCGTGTTGTTTTAGATATTTGTCGTATTCCATTTACAAGCATTTATGTAGACTACATCTGAAAATGAAAATTTGGAAAAAAAAATATTTGAAACCTGCAGTATCAAATTTGATACAGATGATTGAATGTAATATAAAGAATGAGTTACATCATGAAAATGCATGTATCAAATATGATACAAATGGCATTATAGGGTTAAGACGTTTAAAATGCACATGATCAACATGCCCCGTTATTTGGAGAGACGCGGGCAACTGGGGGCCCGTTTGCCAACCGCGGGCCCCACCCTCACTAGCGGGAGAGACAAATACCCCTTTTCCACCCCCGCAGAAACGTGGCGCTCGTCGGGCGCCAGGGCCGGCACTGAACAAGTTCTTCCCAAGAACGTGTTGGGTTTTCCAGCGGCAAAGAGACACGTAGGAGCGACGTCATGCGCGCGCACGCGTGTCCGCCACGGGAGCTTATTTGCCCGAAAAGTCGCTCTTGGGACAAAATAAAGGTCAGGCGCCCCCCGAGCCATTTTGAAATCTTTTCCTCAGGTCTTTGAATGCTTCCAAACAAGATCTTTGCCAATTCTTGATGGAATCGTTGGTGTTCTCATGCGGCGAGCTCCAACTCTGCATTTCTGCCGTCGCGTGGTAGCCGAGTCGCAGGGGTGACAAAACGCCAGGTGGTGAAAATGTGCTTATTTACCATTTGAGCTCTTAAGTCGAGAGGCTCAATAGGTGCAGTCTTTAACAGGGCGGAGGGGAAAGTCGAGGAGCTCTCCCATTTGTTTGCTTTCTGGACGTCTCCTGCCCACCAGCACAGTAGCCGTGCCAGAGACGACCTTCTACAAACAACTACGACTATAAACAGGAAGACGCTGGCTTTCAATCCCGCTGCGGCCTCTCTGCGCCCTCCCGATTTCAGGATGCGTGCCAGCGAACAAATCACTTGCTCTACACGGTGAATATTCTCGAAAAACATCATTTTCTATTTGTGTGTGTGTGTGTGTGTGTGTGTGTGTGTGTGTGTGTGTGTGTGTGTGTGTGTGTGTGTGTGTGTGTGTGTGTGCCAAACGCAGAGAAGGCGTGAATTCCGTATGGCAGATGGAATGAATAGCAGAGGAAAGAGGTTTTTACCTTTCTGGAGGACAGCGTGGAAGGACAGCAATCTCCTCCGTCGTACTGGCAGTAGGCCCGATTGTTGAGGGTGTCGCACCAGCCGTCCCCACCAAAAGGCTGTGAACAAGTTATGAGCGAGAGTACGTCCTGTTTATGACGGTTGGTAGAATCGAGCTCGTAAAAATGTAATGCCTCCCAGCTTTTCACTCGAATCAAAGCCATTTGACATTCTGGTGAAAGCCAAGTCAGATATTACGGTTCCCTCCCATGGCCCTTTGCCACCGCGCTCGTGCTGGTGCCGATGCCCAGGTGAGCGCCAATTCTTTCTTTTGACCGCTACCGAAATTGGCTCTCGCCGCGGCGCTTGAAACCGCCGCGTAAGCCGGCCCCAATTATTTCTCGCTCCCAGACTCCGGCCGCAACTCCGTCAGGACTGCTCTACGCTGCATACAAGTGTAATCGATGCTATGCCGAGTTGCCTAGCGGATGCTGACGGTGGATTATTATTCTGCTTATTATTATTATGAATAGCGTAGGCGCTCTTGGGTGAACGTGGACGTAGGCAGTGACGCTTGAACGCTTTACAATGACGTGATGACGTAGCTCCTACTTGGCTCGTTCAGTACCAACTAAGCACAGCGCTGGCCCTGGCTCCCAACCAGCAACTTTTTTTTTTGGGGGGGGGGGGTGTGATGGCTCCCATTTCATTTGTAAATCTTTTTCTAAACTGTGTTCTTCGCCATGTCATTTGATATTGATTTTTTTTTTTGCCAGGTTAGCCTCAAAGGCTCCGGTTTGTGGAGATTTCTAAAACTGGTTTGTACAAATGTGTTATGTCAGTAAAAAGAATGGAGGAAAAAAAACAAAAATCTAACGTCAAGCAGAAAATATGATTTGCCTGCATAACACGTGATAATAAAGTGATTTTAAACAGCCTTACCTTTCTGATTGCCAACCTATCGGTTTTTGCTTTGCTTGAACTTTCCTAGTGTGTTGCAATCTTCGATCTGAAGCATCCAATTCACATTAGAAATATCTCACGACACACCAACAAAAAAAGCATCCCAAAAAGGATGATTACGGGAATTATGATCTTGTTGCAATTTACCAGGGGGGGGGGCGGGGTTCACACACAAGCCAGTAGTGATGCAATAGTACGGAGCTCTGTGACTCTTACCTCACATGACTGAATGCAATGAATGTTTTCAAGAGGCGGGTACCACTTCATCATCCCCGTGCAGACAATGGGCTGGAAAAC